TAAGAAAAAAATCTTTTCCTCTTTGACGATACTTCTATGAATTATGGTTATCTGTTAAGTTGTGGTTTAGTTGTTTGTACGTAAGATTTATAAAGTATTAGTGCTATTTGAGTGGTCTCTGCAGCAACACTTAATCGTCTAATGGCTTGCGCAAAACTTGTTCAGTAACCTCCTGCTTACCAGCGAAAAATATATGCCTCGACGCTAAATATTTTTAGTTTGTATTTATTAAGTATTTTTTAGACTTATTCATATTTCCCTTCAATTGTAACTAATAAAATCGGATATTTTACAAAACTCTTACCGTGAAGTTAGTAACTCCTCTCTCTAGCTTAGAATTAACCCAGTCCAGCGTAGCGCGGAAGCCAGGCGAGTCAGGCTTCATGAAGTACGATAGATACGTCATGCCAGAGAGCTCGTCCAGCCATGGCGACGCTAGATATTCAGGCTCTAACACCATGGGTACTTCGAACTCACGGTGGGCTAACTTCATGGCTCGTCTACAATTTTCTATCGCTTCATGACGATCTGAGTAAGTTAAAGAAGATAATAATAGTTATACCACTAGGAATGTGGTTTTAGGCGGTTTTTTGGCCATATGTAAAACATTGGTGCGTTTAATTAATGTTACTATGTTGTTAAGCTTCTTGTTATGTGCATAGATAAATAATATTTTGTATAATAATAATTAAAATGTTTTTACTTCAATTAAGATAAGTACTTAGTCGATTTTAAATTACATATGCAATTAATTCACCGAACCGATTATTATAACCGATTATTACTTTTATTACTTACTGTAGAACATAAAATAGCGGTTTAATTAAAAATACGAGTGGTTAATTAATTTCAAATACATCCTAACTTAATAAATAATTCAGTCCATCAAAATATGTAAATTCGGGTACATCGATACTGAAAGTGTAATCTGCTCTAAAATTGACAGCAAAAACAATTACGTACTACGACCGGTATTTAATTAAGTTGATTAATTCAATTTCATTAATGTTCCAATCACTGTTCCCGATCAGCCAACAACTTGTCAAACATTTGTGGAGCGTTGCAAACATATCAAATATGTATGTAGTTAGTTTGTTTAAAGCTTATACTAACTGAGTTCGCGCCAATGTGGGAACACGCCCGGTTTGCAATAGTCGAGAAGAGCCGATAGCAGAACCCCGCTATTCCAATCCGTCGTCAAATTGCTGACTCGACACTCGGGCAAAGCTGCTTGCAGCCACGATAACATCAGTTTCCTGTAAACAAACATCGTGAGCACAGCCGAAACATGACCGACAGTAAGTGTTTGACGACTGTACAACGTATACCAATGGGATAGAGTCTAATTTAACTCGTCTCAATTGCGTCATACCCGTGGGTTAAGTTACGAAATAGTTCCTCGAGAGATACGTCACTAGCGATTTAAACGAAATCGAAGAGATGTTTGTTTAGCATATACAAAATTTGTAATATGACTATGTAAATTTGAAGATTTCGCCAACACGATATAGCCCATGTTAGTACAAATATTTAGCAGTGAATGTGAAATATCTATAAACTGTGATACGGAACATACAGCTAAGAGTTATCTTAATGTTATTTTTCGTTTACTTCAAATTAAGTAATATCGATTTAGACCTGTATTTAGTGTTTAAGTTAAATGGTGCCGATAAGTTTTCTCTACACACGATGCAAACGATTTAAAATTTAAATTTATATGGAAACAACTTATGATATATTCGTGCCCTGGCAGTAGATAATTTAGATTTATGAGGACAGGCTTTAAAAATCGAATACGTAAAAATTTTATGGCAGGAAAATACGAGACATAAATTTAGCAGTACAACAAATGATACGCGAAACCCAGATGAGTGTTGCGGTCAATGCGAACCCTTGTTACATCGATCAATATTGTAATGGGTATATCTTTTACTTTAATATTTGTTTTGTTCTTTTTAATTTGTATTTTGGTGCATATTTCTAAAGAATTTTAATATTTAGGGTTAAATTAAGATTTTGTTTAGGCGATATCTGTATAAATAAAACGCCGCGTTTTAGTCTACATTTAATTTTCTTAAGTACATAACAATAATGGTGTTAACAATTAGGTACGTTTGCTAATGTTATTTTTGAATTTGCGCATGGCTCTTTTTATATATGCCTCCAGTGACCGCTGAAACGCGTTGCCTCTGTCTAATTTCCGAAACATTTGTATGAAAGCTCTGAAAATTAGAGACAATTACTTAGATTGTTTTTTGTAAAATGGATGTTTTTATACTACTGACCATGAATGTAATCTCGGGAACAACGTAATACAGAGATATCAAAAGCAATACTGCAATGTCTGCTGCTCTACTTCACTATGCCACCCTCGTGTAAACGGTCTAAAAAACCTACTCAACGCCAAATATGATTGTGAAAGCAGTCGCGAATGTATTTGTATTAAGATGTATCGCAATGTTCCACCGCGCCGTCACCTCAGACACGGTACGCTCACGCAGTCGCGCTAATTGCTCGAATACTGTCCAAGTTGACATAAACGGCGATGTTTACAAATAATACTGGTGTTACAACACACATAAACACGATTGACTTTAAAAGGTACGCGAGACATTCATAGGATATCTGACCTAATTCTGACAGCTAATATGATTGATAAATTTAGATTAATTGTATTTATCTAAATGGTTTTAACAGTTTACCATATTTGTATTATAGAATAAGTCTTCTTTCTACATCTATCTGATAGCCAAACTTAAACTAGTACTCCGTATTAGATACGTATACGCGTTAGTTGTGGAATTACGGAAACTATAACACTGGATAATTTGTGCCATGTTTTATTTAGTATAAAACTAGTCGTCTCCCGCGACTCCTTCCGCTCAGCTTTAAAATACTTTAAATATTAGTGAGATAGTGCTACTCAAGTAGTTTGTTAAAATTATCTGTCATATGATAGATAGTTTTCTCACCTCGGTGGGAACTTGCTCCTGCCAATTTGATAGCGCACTATAAGAGACCATATTAATCCTAATATTAACTTGAGATTTCCATTCACGATGTCCACATTACCTGGAAAATAAAACAATATTGTAAATCAGTAAGTTTCGGACATTGTTGATGATTCAATAAAATTACGTTTGCACAGGTTTCTGCAATGAATCTAGTATTAGTTTCCTTATTAAATGTAGCAAATTGATTCACGATTTAATTAACGTTTTTTGATTAACCAATTTGTCTTCTATGAATATTTAAAATCGGTATATCAACATTAGTATGTCTTGATAATAAGAAAATGTTTATTAGTAAAAGTAATGAAGATTAACTAAGGACGTTTCTTAAAAGATTTACTTTATAATAATATCCCGAGGGTATGTAGAAAACTTCGTAGGAATACTCAAGGTGATTCAATAGAGTAAAAATATGAGTAAAAAAATCATGTTAAAGTTTATCTCGAGCAAGAAAAGCTGCAATGGATCTTTTTAAACGAGTATGACGTGAGCAGAGCGCAGCTAGCGCGTGTGACCGACAAAATGAATTAAAAGTATAAAACTGCAAGCTTAGAAACACATAATAAATAACCACGGAGAGTAAATCTTTAGAAATCTTTACAGCAAGAACTATTTTTAGTATACTGTTACTGTTAATAATACATTAAAACTTTTTTTACTGATTTAAAATGAAAATTTGGAGTTCTACAATTTATAATGCAAGCCTGCAATTTGTAGTCCTTGGAAAATTTAGTTAGGTTAATTTATTCTAAAACTAAACGGTTCTATGAAACAAATAAACATATTATTATGCATGTAAAAGTGGCAATAAAAATCTTAATAAAATCACGAACAATGTATTTAGCAACAAACGAGTGTAACTGTTCTTGATAACCTCTATGAGTAATTTAGCCGGCGCGTTTGTATGCGCCTTTGTTAACATGTTCCCATGACCAATTGCCACCTTAGTCACAGTAATCTCACCTATATTGACTAGCTTGATGCTGTCGTCTTCAATTGCTTGTAATGCAGTTGTGACGTTATCCAACCGGTGGTGTTGATTGGTGGGGTTCTTGCTCCAGCCTTTCAGTCGTCTGCCTTGAAGTGCTTCGACTAGAGCACATAGCACTGTCCCGTCTCTTAAGTCTTCCACTAAATCTACTACCTGCGATCATAGAATTCGTACGGTTAATCTTACTAACATTATAAATGCGAAAGTTTAGAAGGAAGGAAGAAGGAAGTTTGTTAGAGTTTGTATCCTAAACGTCTCAACGAATCTCGATGAAATTTGGCATAGACGTAAATAACAGTTTGGAAGAACGCATAGGCTACGCTCTTTTGTTTTATTTTTTAATTCCACGCGGACGAAGTCGCGGGCGAAAGCTAGTGACAAATAAATTTTCAATGGCACTTTTGGTAAGTAACAAGGTACATTGCATTAGAGTTTTGCTGTTCAGTAAATTGTTGCTCATTGGATTTGCATTATCCTAGTATCTCAGATTTGACGCAAACGTAGGTTTTAGCTATATACAGCTACAATTAACAGAAAGTTTTTATGTTACCTTTATATTCATCGGTTTTAATGTTTCGTTCACCCAATTTCTAAACGTATTAGCTTGTATTTCCACCCAAAGGTCTTCATGGCCCTTAATAGCCATCCCCTTAGCAGCGGTGCCTTCAGGGCTGCGCGCGGCTAGGCCCGCTTGGGTGATACGACCCGCGGAACCTTCAGCCGAATGCGCCCGCACGCCCTGATGGGTCACACGCATTCCCTCCATCTTGTGTGACGTCAGCAAAATGCACAATGTAATGAGTTATTCGTTTCTTCTATCTCTCGTGCGTCGAGTTTCAGCGTCATCTGGAAACAACATTTTACTTTTTAACCCCTCATTTTTCTTAAACACACAATCTAACACACTGTTAAATATTATAAAGGCGAAATATACAGGCGAAAAGTCGATGTTTGTTTCTTAGACTTTTGTTATCATAATATTAGAATCTAAACACATTTTATTACAATATACTCACAAAACAATAAATTGTTAGTAATAACAATAGTTGTTATTGTTATAAGCCATCCAAATCTTAGTAATTCGAAACTGTGATACACTTCGGTATAAAAGAGCGTTAACTTAGAGTTCTAAGCAGATTGATGACGTATTGTCAGTTAACTCGTGATTTATGATACTTTACGAAACCTTTTTTAGAGCACTCCGCGAACGTTTTAAAATGTATAAACCTCTCGCTCGATGCGAGAAAATTACACTGGCATGATTGAATGTTGGAGTCTCGTTAAAATTTTGTTAAAAACTCATTAGAGCAAACGAGAAATTAATCAATTACAAATATTATATTCGTTATCTAGAGTAGATAAAAAAACTTAGAAGTACTGAAATTGATAGCATATTTCAACCTTTATAGGACATTTATAGGGATGGGCAGCTACTCTCCCCTAGATAATCTAAAAATGTAAACTATATGAAAATTAGTTCGAAAAGACCAAATTAATCATAGCTGACCCCCAGACATAGCTTAGACCATCAGCAAGCGACGCACATGTGCAAAACATAGTAGGTTATAGGTTATTTTACATTATTCACATGTAATATTTAATTTTACGGAGTGAATCAGGACACGAAAAGCTTGTAAAATAAAGGAAAAATGTTTCACCTCTAATGAAAATCTTTTCCTTAATGTTCGTAATATACGGGTTTCTTACCACGATTGGATTGTTTTAGCTACTGATTTTTCGGCACAGTTGCATTAGCCATGTTCACGGGACTGAATTGCGGTAGTGCGAAAACAAAATTACAAATAACCGTATCGGTCTCCTCTTTTCCTGATACAGCTACCGCTACTACCACTGTTACTGCCCTTGTTCTCACTACACTCTAAGTCCACACTAGATATTTTTTGTCGACAAACTTCAAAACTACCTAATTGTAAAACCCGTATCTTACGAAAGTTATATTTGTAAATACCACAACAGTTTAAAGTTATGAATATTTCTTTTTAAATTCTTTACAGAACACGCCATAGAGTTAAATTATGTACAATTTTTAAATAATCATATCACGTTTATAAATTACGTACGTCTATATTTTTTTACATAAGCATGTTACGATGATGTTTTAAATATTTTGTTTTGGTAAGTATAATAACTTAGTTCGTGATAAGATATTTCGCACATGATATTGCTTCAGCCTTAAAAAGTTAGATGTTTTGTTTGTCCTCAACTACATAGTGTAATATCGTAATAGTTTATGTAAATCTCAGACATTTCATTATCATTATTTATTATTTTACTTTAGAAAATATAATTCAATTGTAATTTCTACCTACTAATGTACTTGAACATACATCATTGGCGTATATTTATCCTCACTAAATTCTTATACCACTGGTCAGATTTTAATGAAAACTTTGGACGCCTTCATTTAAGAATTCTGAGAATGTTTTTGACTTAAAATATATTACCTATATTAATATCTCGTATCATAACGTAAATCGATATGCTTCATGATCTCATAAATAAAAATTAAATTAAATTGAACAAGTAACGACATCATCTATCATTCACTAGTCAACATGTAACATAACAATCGGTATATTTATCAGAATATCCGTGTGGGTCGCATATTCGAAACAGAACGACAATAAATATTAATGTTTAATATTGAATTATAGAGAAGTGTCTGTGGGCAGATCGATCGCCACCGCGCCTATGTGATAAACAGTCATTTCTATTTTAGTCGGGCATGTCATTGTAGTACAACCTCCAGTAATCATTCTGCTTTTGTCATTACCGCGTTTTGCATAAGTATGCGAGAATACTGGAACTAAAGATCCGCTGTCATCTCAGATACGGAATGACTCATTTCTTTGGAATCCGATGTGGTTGTACTCATAACGTACTTAGTGTCTTGCGGTGTCCCTGTGTTTTACCTTATTTGCACATCGTACGGTGCGTTACATCTTAATTTACATACGGACACAGTTTTAATGTGCTTATGCGTACAGGGTACACCTGACTGTAATGATATGCTTGTTTTGTTTACCTTGATAATTCAGTAAGATTTATTTTTCTAATGTTGAGAAGATTGGCATTTTCCCTCAGAGAGTGTATTGTCATATCTTGTTCAAATTATTTCTTAAGCACTTATGGATATTAAGATTGTTAAAGGCCCCCATTATTATGTAATGTAAATTTGCACAATCAGTTAACTCTATTATTTTTCTATCATACTTTATACTAATATTATAAATGCGAAAGTTTAGAAAAAAAAGAAAAAAAAAAGAAAAAACGGCTGAAAGGATTTCGATGAAATTGTGCATAGATGTAGAGGATAGGAAGAACACAAAGGCTACTCAGTTTTTTTAATTCCACGCGGACGGAGTCGCGGGCGAATCTAGTTTTAATTAAAATACATTGAACGAAATTGATTACTTATTGATTACGAGAGGCAACTTCAAATTGCAATACATGAAAAAACAGACCCGTAATAAAAGCAAAACATTTTTCTATCACAAATGTAATCATTTACAAAACTATTACGAGTATGTAAAGTAAAAAAAAAGTAAACGAATTGATGTAACATTATTTTATTTACGATCTAACAAAAAAATAACGAAACGAAAACAACAATTTCACCGACGTCTTTAATTTCAGTTTTAATTTAAGCTTTTAATTTTCTTTGTCTTCGATTTTTAAATTATTTTTGAAACAGACGTTACGTGTTTTGCAGATGACGTTAATCTAAATTGGTTCTCAGTATTTAAAATAGAAAAATCATTGTTAAATGTTTCACATAAGATTGGATAACAGATAATATGCAAATCGTTATAATGATTTCCTTAACCTCGAGAAAATCCTGCATAAAATAATGCATGTATAAGCACAATTAAAAACTTTTTAGGTTACTTAAGTGTCAGTGCTTGAGTCATAGAATAATTCAGCTTTTCTAACGGAAAAAGATGACGCCTAAGGTAATGGTCTCATATATTTTTTGTACAGTTGATTTGTCAACTCATGCGTATACTTTGACGATAAAATCATTTTATGCGCTATAATTTCACCGTCTCTTCTTTACGGACGAATATGTATTTAGTTAGAAATACCATGAATGAGAAAATAACCTTTAGAAACAGACATATCTGTTTAAATTCTCACTTAGAAAAACCAATAACCTCATATACCAAAAGGCGAAAAAAGTTTTAATTACTATTATCTAAGGAGGTTTTAATATTTTATAATAATTACACTAATAGATACCATCCGGCTTAGCATGTATGAATTCTGAATAACGTTTTTTCGATAGACATGCAATCTTTTGAGCAGTGAGGCGATTCAATTTCTTGCTATAAAGTGAAATCCGTCACTAAAACGCACATACCAGAAGTCTCTCTTGTAAACACTACATCTTTAACATTTATTACGAATATATACGTACTTTTAGACATTAATATATCTAATTGTAACAACGTAATTTCATAGGGACGGAAGTATATGCCGATGATCTCGTGTTGTGCTGATTTTTAACAGTACCTGTGCTAGGTATGGTTTTTCATTTAACAATTGGCAGCATCTTGTTAGAAGCAATTATGGTACTTGTATATATCTCTGGCTAAGGAACTTCATAAATATCGTAAGTTTCAAATCATCGATTTAAATTTTTATTTTATTTTATCATACCAAGTTAATACTAAACAAGTAGCTTGCGCGAGAACAGCGTCTATTACGCGGCAAGTACGAGTATTACTATATCGACATAATGACATGTCGGCAGGTAAGTACGGAGTGTGTTGGCGGTGTTAATTATGATGCCTATGTCTTAATGTTGCCCGTTTAATGATAATATTTAAGTCGGAGGGGACACTACAAGGCCGCAACGCGCAACTAATGCGTTACTGCGCTCTGAAGGTAAAAGGAAGGAAGTACTGCAGTACGTTGGACATTAAGTTTAACAATGCGTGTGTATTTGTTTGTGCGACTGTGTAATGGAATTAATAAGGCCGTGTACATACACAGTCTTTTTATACCAAAATGTGTACATACACTTATTGGTACATCTAAATATGTTCAAACAAAAACACGTTAATTTCGTGATAATTTTCATTATTATTTTTTTTTTTGAGTAGTGCAATAGAACTTAAGTTTAAAGTAATCTTTATTCTATTTAACACATTAGAGTGGCCAGTACGTATAAAAACTTACGGAAAATTTACTAGCTATAAAACTGCTTCGCTCGAACTCTGCCGGCTTGGGAGGCGTTAGTTAAGTTAAAGTTTACTCATTAGAGGAACGCTGTTGCTGCAGGTTTTTTACATCCATTTAACTTATGTCCTTAACAATAACGAAATTTTAAAAGTTGGGAATTAAATCAAATTAAATAAAGATGTGTTGGGATCGCGCTAATGAATACATATTTTCTGCCTACCCTACAGGGTTATGGTCGTTGTGTTGTTAAATAATAATTCCTAAAGATATATACAGAATGAATATCAAATAAATCGTAGAATTATCTCATGCTTCGAAGCGGAACATGGACTTGGAGAGGTAACGTTATTTTGCGGTTGAAGCACGACTATAGCATTAGTGATGATTCCTCAACATCTTTGTTTATTTACAACAAAGATGTTTGAATTCTAATTAATCCACAGACCAAATTGAAGATTTCCATCAAATAATCAATATTAGGTTATTTACATCTTTAAAATCACAACTTGCTCCCTTTTGTAAACATGTTGTCTCTTAAGATAAACTTCAAAATATGTTACAAGTTTGTATGCAAGCAAGGTGTGTGGGAAAAATGTTTCTACTGTAAGCTTTACTTTTCCCCTATATTTTTCTTCACAGCGTTACGTGATATGCAAATATGTTTGTTCATTACTACGAGACTTTTAAGTATGTTTGTTTTAACTGTTAACGGTGTTCAAGTTTTATTAAACTATGAGATTTTAAAGTCGACCACGCAAATTCCAATGATTTGATGTCATATGTCATATTTTAAACCGTTCATATATATGTATAGTCAACTTCCGTATTTTTAACAGCTTACTTAATATTAACTTAGTTCACTATTTTATTTTAAATAAAAAATAAATATTTTTACTGAATAATAAATAGTTCTGCATAAACTAATACGTGAAAAATAAAGAATTGATGCGCAATTTATTGTATAATATTATTTTTAACGAGCGACTGCCTAACGATGTGCTTCGTGCTCCGCTGCCTCCAATAATGTGTGAAACCATCGACGTAGAAAGATCTGTCTGTACGTACGTCTACATGTTTGTATCGCTCCTGTTTTTCATACAGACATACTTTAGTAGTACTGCTCGTATATATCTCAAAGTAGTTGAATCCTATTCAAACATTAACGTTTTCAGAACGTTTTTCTTTTTTATGTTCTTATCAAAAGTCTGTTTAAATTCAGATAACTTAAACCTTGCTTCTGTAAAGGTTATATTTATATTGAGAAGTAAGTCTGCGATCAAAATGTGGTTTCGATTATACAATCATATTGACCTAACTGATTATAATTTCAAAAGCCTTGTTTGGTTATTACGACAGATTTGTCAATACACGTTGCGGAATAAGACTTCACTTTCCGAATCTGATGTTCTTCACAATAAACGCTCAACCCCTTTTCGCAGAAGGTAGAAAGTTCAAGCCCTTGATCCCTTTTAGCGTAAACAAAAGCAATGAGAAGCTATTTACATTCCACTTGACATATTTTTTCTTTTCTACACACGGCCCGGAACCGGTTTTCCACATACGCTTGCATGTTTTTCGGCTACAAGTTCAAGTAACATGTATAAGTAAAAATTAAATTTAAACAGGATTATTGACAAAGTTTAACGAAATATATAATTTACAATTTTAATGACGTAAGTTGATAAACATCTGAGACACACAAACATGATTTTTTATTAACAGCCGGCACACGAAAGTACGGGGAATATTTTGAAATTTATAATTAATGCTTGCTTCATTGTCATTAACGATTTATTTAATGGGAAAACCTTCACGTTTTCTCATTGTTAGTGCAACCTTACGACACGTGTGCCGTAGGCGGTGCTCGATCGTAACACACGATGATGTCATTAACGAATCACCTTAATCTTTATCATCCCATCACTACATCTCGGAGTTGTAATGTTTTATAAACTGCATTAACATATCGATCTACAAAACATTGATTACGCAACACCGGCGCTACTCTATCATAGTAGTCATTCATAAGTTACAATACACCTGTTTTACACGGTGATATCAAATCGACCTATAATCCGTATTAGGCCGTCTGTTAAGAAATGGTCATTACACCGATAAGCGTTATGACTTAGCCGCACCGACTTATAAATGCCCTTGCATTGCGCTCTTACATAAAATCTGTTTTAAATTTGCATTTTCACTGTTTACCTTTAATCACATAAGTTAATTCAATGTTCACCAATGTTTGTTTAGTCAATTTATTACTTGAACACTAACACTGCACGATGTTTTTTGTATTTACGCGATCGTGTTGAGCGCAGGCGTATTATCGCTGGCGTGCGCGGCCGAGGCACTAACGTGAGGCACGATGGAGGCAGGTTGCGCGGGAGTGTCCCTCCTCCCCGCGCTCCCCCTTAGCAAGGCTGCCCCTCCGTCGCAATAGCATTCCATCTGTGACGACAACGTGCCCATTTATGTCTTTGGACATGGTCGCCGGCCATGCCGAGAGCCGACCATATGGTGTCGAGCGGTGTCATTACGGTTTTTCAGTGTAACACAACATAATAGTTGTTAAATTACACGTAAACGTATCCTACGGAACGCATGGGTTATTCGCTTAATGGTTTATGGTTCTTAACTGCACAACAAATTGTAAGAAGTAATCTTCTACAATCAGTGTCATTTTCTGAATAATACTATACAAATGCAAGAAATAATATCAAGACAACAATTATAATTATTGTAATGTAGTAAATTCGTCTCTAGCGGAATTTTGTCGACATTTGTTGATACGAAATTTAGTCTATATGACCACATTACCGCTTCTACCACAAATCTTAAAATGTTATACGATGCTAAACTAAATATTGACTCCGGCCGCGAAATTATATATAAATAATAGTCGCTTGATTTCAATATTGTAACTTAACTTTAAAAAGAAAACTCTAGTTAAAAACGACAACGGTCTAAACAGTTTTTGCTACTCTGTCCTATATTTAAATACTAAATTTATGTAAGTATTAAATATTTAAATAATTTGTAGTAAGACGCCGCGCTTGTTACAACTAGCGATCCTGTACTGTACTGTATGTATTATTCATATTTTATTATGAAAACAACGGGCACTCGTTGTGTGCCTTAGGGAGTGAAAATGTTTAGGTAATTTATGTGGGAATAAATTATGAATGCGAGACCGCGGCCGCTACGAGTGCGTGCTATCTACGGAAGAGTTTAATTGGATTCAAGGGTTGCGGTTAACAGGAGTGCGGCTCCGGTGTAGCGAGGACCTTTACTGAACTATAGCGACTTTAATACTTTGTCAGAAATGCGAAAGGACATCTTTTGGAATCAAGTTGAGAGTTCAATGACTCGGTCTGTTGATTCTTGAAGCGAAATATTTAATTCAATGAAAGGTAAATCTACAACGCACATGAAATTGAAATATAGCCGTAAAATATCTCATTGTGCAAAAATTTTATTGCAGATATAAAGTGTCTTACAATTTATTAACATATATTGTAAAGGAAGACAAAGTGATACTCTAAAAGATCTAATAATTTTCACATTGCCCTTAAATTTAGATTTATATTAGACCAGTGTGTTGCTTAGTCTGTTCCAGCTATTTGTTTGTATTGCAAAAATACTTTCTAATATGTATTATTACTGAAAAGAAAATAAAACTTTACTTACGAGTTTTATTGGAATGTATTTGTAGGTAACCTTTTTGTGTCCCTGTAGAGTCCGGAAGCGGGCAGTACGTGTACGGCGGCCGCGGATGATTTCGAGCAAAGGGTTGGCCGGGCCGCTCTAACTCGTGAATAAATTTGAATGCTTGAGCAGAGACCATGGCGACATTTGGCCTGCAGGTCGCAGGTCGCAGGTGCCTTCAACTGTATCTTCCCATATTTTTTAGTGTAAAATAATTTCTTTTTATTTATCTTACTCTCATTAAAACTTAGTGATGCTTTTAAGACCTTTTCTCTGCGGATTGTGACTATTTTATTAATTTAGTTTGATATTTACCGACGTTTTGTTTAACACAGTTTTTGCATCTAGAAATGCGTACATAACGTGAAAGTAGTTAACGTGATTTGTATGCTCGGATTTTGCAAACACACTTTAAAGAAAGCGTTACTGTGATAATAATTTACGACCATAGATCGATATAAAATATGATTCTAACCATGGCATGGTTTGTATAACAAGAAGGTTCTTTTTATCACAAAGTCGTTCGAAATATCTTGATTGCAATTTATTGCTTTTTATAATTCGAATAAATTTATGAGCCTCGCAAAAATGAGGTTTCGTAAATTGCTTTTTTCCAATCGAAAAAAGTAGGATGGAATCAAATATATTGTAATTATGATTTTGATTTAATATTGAAACCTACCACTACTTGAATCGAAAATAATTTATTATTTAAATAGCAGTAGAGTTAACAAATTTCTTTAACGACAGCTTAAATTTTTTGTTTTGATAATATTTTTAGGTGTCAATGTCTAGTAGCGTATAAGTTCATATCATAAACAGCTTCGACGTCGCATGAGGACTGTGTTGTTCATCGGAAAGGACGTGACCAGCATAATAACATAGTTGTACCGATGGTCAATGATAGTATATTGCCATCTCCACCATAACGACTATTACGTACTCTAAGCTATCTTTGAATTCATATGGTAATTTAATTATGATTCATTCTTGTCTTTTTATTAAGTTTCAATCACTTATTTCTATTTCTGCCAGAAAAACGTCGGAGACAAGATATGGTTTAAAAGCTTCGCCATATAACAAATTTTAAAATTAGTTAACTCAGAATAGAATAAATGGTATTTCATCTATTTGGCTATCATTATCACTATTTAAAGAAGTAATTAAACCTTTCTAACCACTTTAAAATGGAGACACATATTGTATACAAGAGTTTAATTAGCTACAGTTTCAAAGTAAATAACGTACACCTCTTGCGTTTCTTTGTGCATGTAACCGCTTGAAAAAGTGAAACGTTAAGTAGAATTTATCTTGGTGTGCTACTGTAGTTCAAGATTAGGTTCACTCCCGGGGGAGGGGCTGACTTGATACACCGCTCGGTCAGGTTATATTACTGCACCGATAAAATGTAACATTTTTTGTTGTCTATTTTATTCAAAGATGTGAGGGCAACAAGTTAGTGTACTATTCTCTATTGTGAAAAAGTTTTAGGTATATTCACTTTAGTGTAAGATTGACTAGCAGAAATTTGCAAAGGCAGTCTTGATGGTAGAGTTAGTATGAGAAAAATTACACTAACAGACTGTTGCAGTAACTAATAAACGACTATGAGTGCGGCAGCTAATGTACTTACTTAGGTTACAGTTATATTTTGTATTTTTTTATATCACCAACCAAATATGTAATGTTAGTTGCAAAGTCAGTTCCTGCAACAGAAGCTAAATGCCTAATGTGGCATAATCAATTTAGCCCGGGGTTGTAACATGACTGTAAAATACGCCTCGAGCCGCCGCCGCCATAAATGATATTAATTTCGGTGAAATAAGCAGACATTTGAACATGTTTATTTTACTAACAACCAATACAAGTTCGTCGTATGGTTTATTTTAATAATTAGCATCATTTTTGTAAAGCATTTCAATTCAGCATACGTACCGTGAGTATGCACTTGTATAAAAAATCAGTAACCGCATTGTTTGTACAATCTTTTCCTTCCCTATAGATATTGCAGTGTGTTTATACTTTTAGCACAAAAGTTCTCTAGTTACTCAGTTCTTCTAGCTGTAAGATAAAAACAACCAATTTAAAAAAATAAGGCTATAAATAGCAACCTGAACTCAAAGCCCTGCTTGATAATTAAATTATAATTATAGATTTCGCTTTTTTTTATTAATATTTTATTACCTTCGCCGAGTCGCAGTCGTGACGAGCCTTTTATGAATTTATTAAGCTTGATTAAGCGCAACTCTGAAAACGAGCTTTTCACGAGAAAAGCTCGATATTAAAAGTTTCAGGAATTGATACGCTTTTAATAATATTGCACTTTTTTAAAAACAATTTACTCTCTGTTAAAAGTAATTAAGATATTGACTATCTATATAAGTAAAATCTAATATGTAGAATTATCAGCTGTAAAAAATGGTTTTATTTGCCTATTTTTACGACTTATTAATCACTTGTGTGTGGTTATCATATTAAAAAATCCTTGAACGCCTGATGAAAATATTACCCTAGTGCTATTATCGACATTAGTAATATTATTACTACAGGCGTTATGTTAATCCGTTTTAAATCTATATCCTTACAGAAGATTCATCCTAATTACTCCTTTGTCGCGTTACTAAATTATTCATCGGCGTTCATTTAGAGATCGTGATTAAAAGTTTAACGTATAATAGCATCTCATGTTACGTTGCAACTAGAACCAAAGTACTAGTTAAACTAAATTTGAACACATATTTTAACCACGTTTTAAAAGACGTTATCTTCCAAAAATGAACTATAACAAATTAAAGGCGCGTTTTCGCCACAGAGTAAAAAAGCCATTACTGTTCGTTCATCTTAAAGTTGGATAGTTAATGACTTGGTAATTACTTTCGTATTGTCAGAAGAAACCAGAAGTGCCGGAGGCAGTTGCACTGCGAAAAATTAATACTAACGTATTATATATAAGGTTCAACCTTTAAAAATTATTTCAAAGATTACTCCAGAGAAATTACAGACACGTTAAAACGCGTCAGGGTGATAGCATGTTAATTAATTCACTTTCTATATTTAAGGCCAAAATCAGACCCTAATAGACAGGGCAAATGTAATCAAATGATTTTAACATACGTTATTGTAATTTAAGATTATTATAGCCTATTTTCCTTAATTTAGAATTATTATACTTCCATACGAGGATATAAATAACGCAAGTAGACTGCAAATGGCAGAACTCCAGACGGAATTGAGTTTCCTGCTTTAGTGGGCGCAGGTGAAACATCTCAGGGAGAAATTTTTCAATAAATGAAAAATGAAATTGGTTTACGACAGGTGAGCCGAGCCGCATATGTATTTTATACTTGAATGAAACTTTTAGTTGAACTTATTGCTACTAGAATTTTTTTTTCTATTTAATCCGGTTTTGGAATGCTACGGTGAAACAGGGCGCATTGATCGCCCGCAACCTCGCCTAAGGGATTGATGTGACATCGAATATTAATTTTAAACACCGTAATTTTTGAAAAAGGAATCATCGTTTTACCAGAAAATGTTGTGTGAATAAAATTCAAGTGCAAAATTCTATGGTTTAAATATTTAATATCGTTGTAAAACGTGTACAATGCGATTTTAAAGCATGTTTGCGTTTTTTGATGACTGCCTTTGGGGCGGCAAACGC